TAAACAGAACTCGAAAGCAAAAATCGTATTTCGAGTTTCTGTGCTTCTACCACGAGTGCAGTGCGCGAGGGTGTTTTGATTATCACTGCTTTTCTAAGACAAGAATTAATGGAACGAGGGCGAAAAAAAAAATTCAAATAACGGTGAGTGAGTGAGTGCCTCTGTGGTCGAATATAGCGTGGGCAATATAGTATTTAGGGTGCTCTCGTTTTAAATCCAGGATGAAAAGTAGTGCCCGCACTTTTCAAATAATGGCAAGTAGAGTATCGTTTTTGAGGTATTTGGGGGTGCTCATTACGAACATAGCATTTATTTCTAAATCCAAGATGGCCGACACGACTTTTCAAGTACTTTTCAATAAACACTCCTCATTAACTCCCCACTCACTCACTCCCCACTCATTCCCTACTCACTCCCTACTCACTCACTCACTCACTCACTCACTGACTCAATCACTCGCTCACTCGCTCACTCACTCACCACTCACTGACTCACTCACTCACTCATCACTCACTCACTCACTCACTCACTCAGTCACTCACGCACTCACTCGCCCTATAAATTTATCATAATTGTCAGTTTTTGTTTGTGTCAGTAGTTATAAAATTAAAAAAAAAATGATAAATCAAAATTATATTTCTATACAGTGCAATGAACTTAATATTATCAGCAGTTTCAAATTTGAATGGTTTTTGCATTGACTTACAAATAAATGGACGACGGGTCTAATACAAAAACCACGAAAAAAATGTCCCAAGTCAACCTATTCGAAATTTAAATTGTAATGTCATCGCAGTATCGCGCTGTCAGTCGAACAAATGAAGACTAAAGCGGAGTGTCGCGCTCTGTATACGATTTTAGCGCCTTACAAGTGCGGACACTTTTTAGCGCGGACCCGACGTCCATATAATTGTAAGTCAATGGGTTTTTGCATCATTTTGATATATCCATAGTCATACACCGCAGTAATCACTGAACTCGAATGGCAATTCTCGCACTCAAAACGGTTCGAACCGATTTGTACGATAATCGTATGAACTTGAAAAAATGTCATACGAGATCGTGTTTAGACAAGTCGAAAACTCGTAAGCAAGAATCTCCTTACTACATATTTCTCCGTATAAACAGTCGAGGAGGCGATTAAGTTGCTTGCGAATCTCGTATGACATAATCGTAGGCGAGATTTTAGTTCTTGCCTGAATGTAAACATTATGATACGATAATCTTATGGCGATTATTGCTTACGATAATCGCCTACGAGTTTTCGTCACGAAGCGTGCGAGAAACTCTCCCCATCTAAATGGGCCTTAAGGCATCGGTTGGGTTAGAATTATTTGTAATCCTTGAATAGAGCATTTTAATGAGCAACATTAGCTTGAAAAATCTTGTACACAATGCGGCCCTCCTTGTTACAAACAACATTTGCATTTTGGTGACTGTCGACATATTCGCACCAATAGAATGGAAACTAATTAAAATATTAAAAAAAACCGCTTACAGGGGGCTGTACCTAAATCTTGTTTTGCTGATTTCCGAAATATTAATAACTCACTTTGTTAAAACAGTCGATTACATTGTTTATAATAAGGACGGCAAAATAATATTGCTACGTTATCGCTCCCCTTTAAAATTACTCAAAAATAATTTGAGCGGTGTTGTTTGCCCTGTGACAATAATGTAGATTTCTGTTAGATGATAACACCATGTGATAAACAAGATATCTAATGAAATCAAACACTTTTAATGAACTAAGAATTCTTTGATTACGAAAGGTTGGTCTGTCTCTAACATGTTGTAACTTTATATCGGTAATTTTTTGTTTTTTTTTTTAAATTATTTTCATAGTGCGGTGATAATGTACTTAGATTGTTTGTGTGGAAATATTGTGATTTGTAAGTTGTTTCTTTTAGGTGCTTCCTGCGTCCTGGTTTTGAAAAGTAAAATTGCTTGAGAAATTACAGTCACATAGAACTTGTCAACTTCATGTCTCAGGGCGAAGGGCACAGTGACAGCGCCTCTCAGATCTTTGCGATTTAAAGCTCTTAGTGGCACTGCAACTGTTAAGAATAGGCGTCTTACTAACCAGTCCTACAACTTGCTCGTGACTTCATATCATAAAAAACTAACGTACATGGTTCGGAGCAGCATGGTGAAATGATCAGCCAGACCCTGAAAAGAAAGTACGGGCTGAACTGAGAGTTTCCCTTGCTCTCATAGAGTTTTTCAAAAAAGCAAGTAAATAGTGATCTCAAATAATAATGTGCCAGGTAGTCACCGTTAGCTGATCTCAAATTAGGAAATTCTCTGTACTGGTGCCCGAGCAATGGAATTCCTAGATTGCCCAGAACAGAACTAACTTAGGAAAATTCATTTCCAAGTTGGCTTTTCTGGTAATCAAACCCAGGACCTACTCATTTAGCATTCTCAGTCAAAGCCCTTGGGTCATCGAGGTCTTTTCAAAGACAGCTTCTTTTGTGTTGCAAATTTCCGTGGACAACGATGACCAACACCTATCACGAGACCGTCTCCTCAACTTATTTCTCGAGTTCTTAGGTTTTGACGATTGTTACACTTAGGAAATGACTCTATTTTTCCGGAGTTGTTTAGTTATTTATTTCTGTTTTTATGCAGGAGAAGTTGGTATAAGTGTAGGCAATCAGTTCAAAATAAACCATTATGCTGTACTTTCGCAGAATACCTCTCTATATATACCACTCACAAACTGAACATACGGTTAATTTGACGACCTCGGTTTAGTAGCAGTAGAGCTCCTTGTGAAAGAGTTCATCCAAGAAGTACTGCCACCTTACCTTACCTACCTTACCTATTACTGCCGCCAAGCAGTAATGTCAGCATTACTGCGTTCCCGTTTTGAAGTGTAAGAGTGTGGGTGAAATTACAGGCACATGGGACTTGTCAACTTATGTCTCAGGGTGACGGGCGCAGTGCCAGTGCCCCTCAGATCTTTGCGAGCTCTGAGTGGCACTGCAACAGTTATGGACAGGCGTGGAACTTATCATCAGGCGCACGACTTATTCGTCCCGTCACATGATATTGTAAAAAAAGACCTAACGGTTTACACTGTGGATGCTGAACAACGAGGCCCTAGGTTTGATTACAGGTAGTATCATCATATTCGGAAAATGTCTTGTCTATTTTTTCATACCACGTGCCAACCAAGTTAAGCACCAACAACACGCGGTTCCAGTGACACTCAGTGCTTTAAGTCGCAAAGATCTGAGGGGAACTGCCGCTACGCCCGTCACCCTGCGACATAATTTGACAAGTCCCAGTTGCCTGTAATTTCACCACCTCCCTTACCCTTTAAAACCGAAACTTGGTGGCAGAAATAGGTTGAAGCGGTTGTCTGGCACATAAATAAAAAAAAACTTGTAACTAGGCTATAATGCAACAGAGAACGTTGTAACGCCTCGAAATTAAGATGATGTCACTACATCTTTTAAAGTTTTCCTGTAGATACACCGTTCTTCAAAGCAAAGTAAAATTCTTGTAGAACCTTATACTTAGGTCTAAGTATGAGAGAAGTTAGGACATAGCTCTCAAGTTATTACAGGCTGGCCGCCTTTGAACCGATCGGCTGGTATTGAGAGATTTTCTATATCCGCAGCTTCCCTTTATGCTACGTGCAATTTTATCCCCCGCTGCCGTTATGAAATCCGATGAAAGATTTCTATGGATACGACTACAGGAGTTTTAATTATCTAGACATGATTATTTCACCAAAGTGCGTTAAGCAGCCATTGCGTTGTTAAGCTAAGGCATGAACTTTAATTACACAAGTGGACTGCGAATCTCCATACTACTACAGATCGTAATTCTAAAAAAGGTCAAAATTCCGTCTTATGTCTAAATGACGCTGATCGATATTCTGAAAGAAGTATATATTATATAACTGGTCGTCAGTTTCAGTTAATTATTCTTTAATACGAAATATACGACGTCAGTTTTTTCCTTGTAAATATGATTTAAATATTAATCATGAGCTATCTGAATAATAATATGCGTGTCAATAGATGGCATTGTGTGTTAAAAACTAATTTATAAATTAATGCTTCCTAGTATAGGTAGATGGCGCTAATCCTAAAAATAGTAAAAGAATAGTTAGCTCTATCCATAAAAATGTATGCATTAAGCTCCATCTAGTTGATTTGTTTGTCAAATTGGTTACAAAAGTAGCTATTTGTTATGGTTAACTATCAGTATCCGAAATGGTATTTTCCAGAAATAACGTTTGCTCGAATTGTCATAACCTCGAAAGTCATTTTGAGAGGAAAATGTTTTTTCTTTTAAACCTAACTTAAACCTAACCTAGCTGAACCTAATTGTGTCTTTGCGACAAACATCCCACATATCCTGAAAGAACAACGGTATCGTTATAATTAGGTTTTCGGTGTAATCAAAATTCGAACAAACGTTATTTCGGGAAATAAAATTCGAGTTTGTGATAGGTAACCATTTTGTACTCGTTATTCTGCCATAACCTTGTTAAAGTATTGTATTGTAATCAAATATTTATTTTAGGACATCGAGGCTTAAAATAGGTATTGTAATTAAGATATTTTATTTTAAAACATGGAAACCTAGAATAATTAACCTTATCAGTACCAATACATTCCAAGCGCAAGAGCCTGCTGTGTAAGTAGCTATTCTAAAGTTAAAAGTGTATGAATAAATGACTTATTTACTTAGTGATAAAAATGTTATATATCACAAGTCAGTGATTATATTATTCAACATTTATAATAAAATGAACATTACATGATTTACGTTACATTACATTCCAAGTTATTGCTTATGTGACTACCTTTTTAGATGTTTTATGATTAAGATGTTTTGTGTACACGTTCAACATGTTAACACAATAAACATAAAATCATAAAATACTTTGCAAAATACGTCGCGGGACACTCTTCAAAGAATTTGATTAAAAACACAATAACTCTTAGAACCTAAACACACAACGTATTTCTTACGCGCAGGTGACGGACGCGCTCATGATGCGCTTAACGCGAGTCAAACGAGATTCAGTCGCAGCCAGTAAACTTTTGCGTACGTTCTTATTGAGCCTCTACAACGCCGTGCGTGAAAAATCCTAAAGACTAAAAATTTAAAATGTATTTCTAAAGTACTGTCCACACAATTCCAATTCCTGATCGGACATCGGTTTCTTAGCTCCTTTAAGAAAATGCAGCTGACTCCGCGCCCTACGTTGCTTCTATTAATATTAGGTAGCCGTTCTGACTCTTTGATGCGAAGCCTTTCCTGACAAGTAATTAAATACTAAGATCACTTTGTAAAGAATACTTCTTACCTACTTCGTCTCCAAAGCAATAAGTCGATGAACCCTGCAGCCCTATATAAACTTGCAGTTACTAAGCTATAGCTTAGATTACCGAATTTTGCGTTAGTTTTGATTATAGTGACCCTCCCTACCGACCTTAGGGCACTTACGAGATGGGCACTATAACCTTTGCGGGCACTGGAACCTGATAACTTCAGGTTCTGACCCCAGATCAGCCAGTGTACAGGGTTGTCACAGACCTCTGTCACTTGACTTCATCCAGTTGACTTTTAAGGCAGCAGTAATCAAGAACAATGTACGTCCATCTATACAAATTCAGTCAGGGGAATTGAAAGGTTTAGTCACGACCCTCGTAGTTCTTTGTCAAAAGAAAGTCGGTCGTCGTCTTTTGTCCTAAAGAAAGTCGGTCTAATTTTGAATTCCTGCCAGTCTATTGAGTCTATTTTCGTGGCCTATCAATTCGCTGGTCATCCATGGAGACTGGACGCAGGTTATCCATGGAAGCTGGACTCGATAAACACAATTCGAGCTACCTTGCATTTTCAGTATTAAATGCTCCTAATAGGGCCTTTAAATTAATACGCTTATAGAAACGCTTATAGTACGCCGCGTTCATGTCGGAACCTTCTGAAATTAGTTTTTTTTTTATAAAAAAGTTATTATTATTCTACTTTCATTGCTAAAGAATATACAGTAATTTCGTTATTTGCACTAGAACGTATTAGTTACACAGATTTTTTTCGACATTGAAAGAAACAAAAAAATAAAAATTTTAACAAGCGCAAAAATAAATCCCAAAACAATCAATTAGAAAGAAAAACTGTCAAAGAAAGAAAAACGCCTTGGGAGAAAACAGGTAAAACAACATATAAAACTCTCTTTGAGAATTCGAACAAAACATTGATTAATGACGAAATGCACTCGAAAACAAACTGTCGAACTTCTTCAAATTCGCGATACAAATGCTTTCGGTATAACCCCTCGAAAATAATGGTTTCCTTTATGGCCGCAACTGGAATCTTTACCCTAACTACCAATATTATAAGACACGAATTTGACTCTAACAGTTATGGAAACAGAATTGAGTTTTCATCGATGACAGTTAAATAGGGTGAACAGTCCAAAACTTGCCCGAAGGATTTTCCCGAGAAGGTTTTGTTACTTTTTTGTTGTCACAAGGAAACGGAAGTGGTACGCTGTGACGTGTGTTTCCTTCTTTTTTGTTGGTAAATTGTTTCGGTGCCATTAAGCCGTTGACAGATCGGTTTCTTTGAGTAATGCCCTTGAATTGTGAGGGTGTATTTGTGTTACAAAGGTAAGGCTTTTGGGGAACGATTAGTGTGTTTTGTATTGTTATTTATATTTGTTTTTCTATTGGTAATTTGAGATGTATCTTTCAAAAAAATACTCGTTGTACAAATATTACTTTCTTAGGTGTCAACGTAGGATTCTACATAGATCCATAAGAATCTATTAATATGAAACGAAAAAGAAGAATACAGCAATATTTTGGCGGTTCTGGTTACTGTAAAGTACAAAATTGCACAGTTTTCATTCCATATTGTCTCATTTGCTACCAGGTCACAAATTATTGGTTTCACTGGAATCTCACGGCATGAAATTAATCAAAAAAGCCCCTAAAGTGCAAGTAGAATTCGTGCAAGTGGTTTTCCCTATCATAATTGCTATTAATATTAAAATATATTAAGGTATATAAAATAACTAAGTAGTTATAGATAAAATAAATTGTTGACGATTTTAATTCGATTTATAATAGGAGAATATATATTAGCAATTGGCTACTTAGAAATAAGGCTGCTTATTGTGCCCAGTTTATTTTAATATCACAGCAGGCAACTTACAGGAATTAACCTTAAGTTATTTTCCTGTAAGTTGGCGATTATCGCCAAAGTCATCGTTGTTTAAAAACAAACCGTAACTGAGTGGAAATAAGATTGAAATTTACGTGAACGCTATTCGATGATTACCCAATAACCTTCGGGTTATGGGCCGCCATTATTAGGTCGTATTCCACTATATTTTTTTGCAAATGTGTGCGTGTATTTTCATTTCATGGATGAAATAAATGCCAGGACAATGACGGCTTATTCATCCACCAGGAAAGCTACAATACGTCGTATTATCAAGGACTTTACGCACGCGTTTATTAATGAATTATTTGAAATTTCGAGTGTACGATTTTTAAATGGCGGGATATGCGCGCTGTCTTTTGAATATACGTGGAAAATTTTAGGCAAGCCGGTGGGAATCGAGTTTTATGGACGCCTCGCCACTGCGTCATAGTCAACAGTTTGAGCAACAAGTCATAATTTCAATTTCATTCAAATCAGTAGCAACATGGATATTGACTACTACTGCTACTCTTGCTCAGACGACGACGGCGGCGGCGTAGAATTTAGTGCCGCGAAAATGCGCGCGTGACGTGGAATGAAGAACGCGAGCGGAGGTAACTGCGCGAGAGCAGTCAGTGTATGACTGGTGATTGCTTGAATGCACGATGAAATTTCACCGCGCTGCAAGCCGCCCGAAGAATCACAACTGCTCGAGCAGTTCGGTGTATGTGTGTACATAGAAGACTGTAGTTTGCTATGTTGTCGCAGCTTGAAGCTTGCATATAGGCTTGAACCAGCTCGTATCTGCTTCAAGCTGCCCATGTATAGCCGCCCTAAGAGTCGAGACTACCTGAGCTCGAATATAAATTTTTGCCGTACTAATACGGTTAATTTTGCTTGCGTCGGGCGGCAGGGGCACTGGCTTTAATTCACAATTTATTTTTTGTATATCGTATAGTAAAAGTGTTCTATTTCGTCCTCAATTTTACTACCTATTTTTTCCACAGTGATCGTTTCAACACTTTCACTGTTGTGCGGAATCAACCAAAGCCATTTGAGGTTGTATAGATTCCAAGCGTAACAATTGTAATTGGAACAACCATGACCGTTGGTGATAAAATTAGCACGCAGCACAATAATATGTAGCATATGGTAGTAGTAGTAGTGTGAAAGAGTTATTCCATATTACTGCCACTTTAACTATTTCTGCCGCCAAGCAGTAATCTGGGCATTACTGCGTTCCGGTTTAGAAAAGTAAGGGTGCTGGTGAAATTATAGGCACATGGGACTTGTCAACTTTTGTCTCAGGGTGTCGGACGCAGTGACAGTGTCCCTCAGATCTTTGTGATAGAGCTGATTCTAGGAAGGAGTGAGTTCTCTGTAAATGTGGTCAGACTTTAGACCGCACTTCCTATTACTGTTACGAAAGTAAATCGTTAGCTATTTTTAAAATGAGAGTTAAGGAACATTACTTATCGACTATACCATCCATGTCTTACGAATTATATTAGGAATATGTATTTGTCTAAGCATTTGCACACATCATAAGCGTCTAGGAATCACGCCCATTTTTACTACTTACTGAAAATCAGGTTTTTAATTAATTTTTTTTAACACCGATGGAATTTTTTTCGGTCAATTTTATAATTTGAATTTGAAAATGGAATTGACCACAAAAAACAATATTGGTGTCAAAAAGTTCGTGTTGCTAATAATAATTTCAAATTTTACCAATTATGAAATATGGTTAATCTATAGATATGGGCGGATAGGAACAGCAACGAAAATTTTTATAACTACTTGTGAAAAAAAGTCGTTTGAAATTTCAAATTTATTATTTACCCGTTAACTAGTATCAACGGAAACTAGGCAATCAGTATTCTAATCCATAAAATTAAAAATAAAAACCTAATTTGTAATGCAAAATTATGAATAGACGAATATATTTAATCGGGTACAAGCGTAAACGTTCCCACGGTAGACAAATAATGGCGGCTATGTATTTAGGAATTATAAACTCGATGTTTGGAACACATAATTCTTTATCGACTTTAGAACATGTTGACAATGTGGTGTGGTTTGAGTGTCGAAGAAAAAGCGGTATAATAAGCAAGGGCTATTAAGGTGCTCTTTCACAAGCGAGGGGAGACGAAGACTCAAATTTTTATGGCAAAATTTCGATTCTCTCGTCGGGCATCTTCGGTGGAAATGGTCTGAATTGACCAGGATGTGCGAGCGAGAATTAAATTATTTGTTGGTATAATATTGAATGGTATTGCTGCCTGCATAGTGTTTTGTTGTAACGAAAACATGATTCACGCCATCCCTCGATTAATATAAATTGCGAGATTGTAAAAAAAGTATATGATTATTTCTTTTTATAGTCTCTTCACCTGATTTTTCTTCCGTTAACGTATTTCATAGTAATAATTTACGGGGTATATTACTTCCACCGCGTGTCTATCGCTAGACGAACTGAACAGCAATGTATGTTCACTATCGATCTCGCGAGTGTTCGCGATAGCTATTAATATCAACAGCGAGCTCGCGACAGCTATTGGGAAATAGGCTGGTGAGTTTTCAATTCTCATCTCGCCTCGTCTCGTCTCGCCTAGTCGGTGGAAAAGCATTGTTATAGCTAGCGGGTAATTGTTTCGTAAAGTATCATAACCACCTTTTGTCAATTATTGTAATATTATTTCATATGACTAAGTGAGACCTTGATGTCGCAAACTCCTTGCTCTTTTATACTATTTTACTGTATTTCTCTTTTTGGTTTTAGGTGTCGATTATCATTATTGCAAATCGTGGGGTGAATTTTGCGTATTGTGTTTATTTCTGTTCTTTTCCTTACTCACTTTCTATTTCTTTTCATAGTTTGTATCGGCCACTTCATTTAGGTTTCACACCATGTTTCACCACTTGATGGTCTGGCCACTCA